CATTAATATTATAATGATATGCTTATTTACTAAGCAAACTTCTTAATATTATGATCTCCATGCCTGGAAAATGCATTAGGCCATTGAAAAGAGGCCTATTGGCAAAATTGGTCACCAGAATCATTTGATGTCTGTTTTAGTCATGACTTCTTGAAGTTAAGATTTAGCCACAATATAGTTTGAAATTTTTTATGGGATCAGGGGTGTGTAATTACCATTGCCCGACACCCGGGGCTACCGATTTTAGAGGTCAGGCAAGGAAACATCAATTAATGCGGCAATGGATATGGCAATTAACGGATATAGGGAAGTGTTTTGGTATCCTTGGCAAAATTTTGAACAATTCTTTGTAAAATTTTATGCATGGTTAAAATGAACTTTGTTTTAATGAATTTACAGATACATGTATAGCATACTGTGAAGGTTATAACCAAATTTATTTACATCTTTTGCAAGAAATTTTTAAGGATCTCAACATCTAAAAAAATTTCTCAAAGTACATGTACATGTAATTTTGTTTAAAAATTAATTCTGTATTTCACATTTCACTGAATGGGGGGGGGGGGGGGGAGGTGTTATTGCAAATATTGGATATATATTTACTTTAATAAGCCGTAGGAATTCATTATATGGTAATAAGGAATTAGGGAAATAGTGAAGTAAATTCACAAGTCCCCACAACTTCACTGTGACCAAGTTTTAGTGTACAGTAACTGTTACAGTTGTATAATTTATCATTAGTGGTCAAGAATTTCAGCACAGTCTGATATAATTTTAGTGTCTTTTTACATGAAAGATAGTCATTCCAGAAGAAAAACAGACTAATAGAAAACTAATATCTATCCTCATTTCAATATCAACCTAAGAAAAATTCATTGAATCTTGCATTTCATCATGTTCATACTATATTTTCATATACTCTGTTCGTGACTTACCGGTAATGTAAAATGATTTTTATTTTTACAGGCACATTTTTAGCATTTGGCATACTGGAATTTTGGAGTACGCTGAGTATTATTCTGACCTAATAAAAGAATTGAGGTTTCGTGGAAGATGTGGAGTGGAAGGGGAATTCAGTCAGCTTCTAATATTCTTCAGCAAGATATTCCTGTTGAATGCTATGTGAGTTTGTGTTATGCTTGAAAAAAATTCAAAATTTAGTTAACACTTTTGAGGCATATATCTTGTATATGTATGTTTCTTTTTTAGCTCACCTGTACTGAAATCGCTAGTGAGCTTTTCTGATCATATTTTTTGGTGTCCATCTGTAAATTTTTCACATTTTTAACTTCTTCTCAAGAACCACTGGGCCATTTTCAACCAAACTTGGGTGAAAAGCAGGGCATAATAATATTCAATTAGTTTATTTACCAATTAAGGGCCCTCATGGGGCAAAAAGAAAGTACATTGTAAATTAACATTTATATATAGTCATATACATGTAATACAATATACATACACACAAGAGAGAAAGAGTTGCATGATTGATAAGAGAAAGATATAAAAAAGAAGGAATAAACCAGATAGTTTTTATACATATACATTTACATAAATTCTGCACAAATAATATCATACATCATATATATGCAAATTCACATATTTATATCATACACATATATGTACATATTTTTTTGCATAATTTATCATAAAAAGTTCACATGCCTCAGACTAGACTTATGGTAATGCTTTTTGTAAAAATCTTCCAAGAGAATTCAAAATATCTAATTCCTCACAGTTAAGAATCCAGAATAATTTTTGTTTATCAGGCAATTTTGTAAAATGTTTTACTTTGGATGAGATTAAGTTAAATCTCATCCAAATAATAACCCTTGCATCCAGGTTCAGTAAAAGGACCCTGCCCCAATTGAAATTTGCTTTTTTTCCCCAAATTTTTGAGTGACTCAGGTAATTAACTTAATGCTATCTGTTTTCCTCCATTACTGTGTATTCTCAGTTGTCTAATGTACGTTAACATTTGAACATTTTTAGCTTCTTTTCTAGAACCGCTGAACCATTTTCATCCATTTTTGGCATATAGCATCTATGGGTAAATGGAAACTTAAGAATTGTGATTTTCATGGTCTCCTCTCTCCAGGGGCCTGAGGGGTGGGGCTAAAACCATCAAAATTAATTCTATCTTTAAAAATTGTCTTCATTACTTGACATCAAGTAGTCATACTGTTAACATGATTGTACAGTAATAGGCATTGTGAAATTCATGAGTTAGGGGTATTGGAGTTGGATGGGCTCTATTGATCATATATTGAAAATGTATAAATTCTTTAAAAAGCTTCTCTTTCCTTGTATATCATGGTATATTGAACAGATAATGTAAGTACCTGGTTGAGATGTGCAAGGTGCCTCTTGCAAAATTTTATGGCTCCTGGGTCAGTGGTTCTGGTTAAAAGGCGGGGCTCTCTTGATCATATAGTAAAACTGTATTTTATTTCTTTGAAAATCTTTTTTCTTTGCTTCTGGGTATGCAAACCAGTGCATGGTTATGATTAAAGTTGTCTCTTCCAAATTTGTGTATTTCATGACCACTGAGTCAGGGGTTCTGGAGTTAGGCCAGCGCTCTGTTGATTATTTAGTGAACTTTCTGAAACTAAATTTTTTTTACAGTAGACATAATTAAACTATACAGATTGGAGTTTTCTGATAATTGCTTGCTAACTGCAATAACCATGATAACAGTGAGTTGTGAAACCTGACCTGTATTGTTGGCCAGGTAGCTGTATACCATATACAGTAAAACTCGCTTATAGCGAACACGCTTATAATGAATTGACGTTTACAGCAAAGTGATTTTCATTCCCTGTGGTTTTTTTAATATAATTTTGTGAACTTAAAGAATATAATGAATCACATTTATAATGAAGCAAAATCATCCATTCCTGGCACTTCATTTTAGCATGTTTTACTGTATATGGTATACCAGAATATGTCCAGAAATTGCTATAATCAATAATTTTGTATGCCCCAAAAATATTGGAAACAATACATTCTTTCTTATTTTATTGCATTCATCATCTTCGCTAGCCAAGGGTTTCTGATCCGCTACTCTCCTCACAAACCCTTGGCATATGGTGCTGTCAAAGGACGGGAATGTTTACGTCACGTGATCCTGAATCTTACCACATACGCACAGATTGCGTCATCGACAAAAATAAAAAGCAAATTTAAACATTAAAGTTTTTAGAGAATAATTAACAAGAAGGTATTGAGCGATGTTTACTTTCTATTTTAGGTGCAAATCTACATCCGTAATACATATGTATAGATTCCAGAGGTCTGTTCAACAGCGCGAACGTTCGCGAGCGCTCGCCAACATTTCTGTTGAAAAGATAAGGAATTCAGGCGAGCGCTCGCGAACGTTCGCGCTGTTGAACAGGCCTCTGGTAAGAATCGTGATCACGTGACGAAAACAATCCCGTCTTTTGTCGGCACCGTATGCCAAGGGTTTATGAGGAGAGTAGCGTATCAGAAACCTTTGGCTAGCAAAGATGCAGGGAGGCTAGAACAGGGGAGACTGGCCCACAAAGTACAGAGGGCGTGCAGTCCCAATCAGGACCTCAACAACTTAGAGGAGATGATGGACACCCAGTTCTCAGATGTTCAGGAGAAGGAGAAACTAATACCTCAACTTCCTGAGGTAAAATCAAGTTTTCTTGTATGAATTATGTATCATGAAAATACTGCAGATTCATCCAGTAATACCAATGTTAAAGACTGATCTTTAAATGCAAATTAATTAAATAATCTCTGATTTTTTTAGTTCAGAATATTATCTGAGTTTTCATGTTTTGTTTTGTAGAATGAGCCAGTAAGACTTTTCCCAGCCCGGGAACCCCCTGTTGGTATGAATAATTAATTTTGCATAATCAAATAAACAATCACATTCACAGAGGGTACTTGTATGTCAGCTATAGTAAGGGCATACATCTATCAAAGTACTGTAGAACTGAAAGCTGGGCTTTAATTAATTGCTCGAGAATATTGTCTGATCCGAAATTAGTACATATTTAATTTTTTTTTCCTTTTGGCTATTGATGTTTAATAGGTAGAGTTTGTATGATTATGATTAACAATATCCCATATACCAGTAATTAAAATTAACAGTCCAGACCCCAAGATATGTTATGATTTTAAAATTTAACAAATAGTATTTCCAAGAAATTCTCGCATATTTTCTATTCAATAAGCATTTTTTCTCATAATTTAAAAATTCAGTCTTGGAATAGTTAAAGTAATGCACATATTTTAGAGAGATTCTTTAAGTTTCAAACAAACAGTACTTTTATCGCCAACTACATGTAGAAACACTGATATATGTACATTTTCAAGGGACGTCAGGCATAACGCATATAAATTATTAAAATTCCAATTCACTTTACTATTAATTTGTTAAAAATCAGAACAGAATATTAACCACTTACATAATATCGACGAAAACGATCTGAAACATGAAACTCTTCAACAATTTCAACCTTTCGAAAAGCCCGCGCTATTGAAAATAGTTCGCTTAAAATATGCATTCAGCAGCGTATGTGCACAAATTGTTATATCACGATTATCCCAATAAAGCAAATATCTAATTTCTCTTTCAGTTTAATTCTCAAGCAAAAATATTGATCATTAGCTTTTCCAATGATTGGGATGTTAAAAATATTTGTTTGAATATCGACTCACAATAGGACTATTTTGTTTATCAGAACGTCTGCTTTGACGCTGTTTGATTTTTTGTTTATTCTGCTATTTATAGTAAGACAGTTGATGCCTATAGCCAGGACTTTGCATTGTGATTTAAAAAACTTTTTATATTTGTAAGAGAAATAACATTCAGTGACCAAAACCTGAAATACATCTTTGTGTATGAACAAAATATTACAACTTAATCCCAGTGTTGTGATAAATGCACAGTTTTACTTCTATGATGTGTTATTGGAATCCATAGTATAGATGATCAGAGTGAATATCTTTTATGATGTGTTATTGGAATCCATAGTATAGATGATCAGAGTGAATATCTTTTGGGAGTCAGGTTCTCTTTTCTTATATGCAGCTTTCCGTAAACAATCTGACCAGACTGTCCCCTCTCCTGTGAATTTAGAGGAGGATAAGGCATTGGAGAGGCAAAATTGACCCCACCCATCTTCATGTTGTGACGTCATGCTTATCTGAAGAAGTATGTTTCTATTTGTTTACTATTTTTGAAAAAAGTGCAGGTTGACAAGTTGCAAATTTGTTAGGAATGTTAAAACTTACAGGTGTTTATATTGCATTTTCACTCTTTGAAGGAAAGAGATGACTACAGAGTTTTAGTAGAGAGCCTTGGTGGCAAAATGTTGGATGGACAAGATTTTGACCCATCCTGTACCCATTTAGTTACTGGTTAGTAACAAACAAAAAAAAAAAAAAAACAGATGAGATACAATAAAATAAAAGAAGAGGTGACTCATTATTAAGTCTATGCTTAGAATAACAAGTATTCTTTTTTCTTTAGTGTAATGATAATTAATTAACTGACTATTAATTTTCCTAATGTATACATACATGTAATGTAACCTGAGCTTGAATTAAAACATTAAAAGAGCTTTTTATGTAAACTTTTAGAAAGTACATATATTTGATTGAGATCACATAATGAAATGGTAACTAAGTACTGTGCATACAAAGATGACAAGTTTTTATTTTGTTTTTTAACAGGAAACGGTGTCAGAGACAAATAGGAAGAAGACAAGTGATAATTATTTTTCACAGTCATGAAAACATTATAAAATTGTGACTGTTCTGATATTGAATGTATTTTTAAATCCTGAAAAAGTGCTGGTGATAGCTATTTAGCTGTAATGTAAGAATTAGATAGAATAATAAATATTGAAATGAATCTCTGAAGCATTTTAAGATGAGCATGCGTGAAGATCAATGTCCAGTCAATAGTATCTCCATATCAAACAGTTTTTAGCTCACCTGAGCTGAAGGGTCAAGTGAGCTTTCCTCATCACATTTTGTCTGGCGTCCATCTGCCTGTCTGTCTGTCTGTAAACTTTTCACATTTTTGACTTCTTCTCAAGAACCACTTGGCCAAATTCAACCAAACTTGCTACAAAGCATCCTTGGGTGAAGTGGATTCAAGTTTGTTCAAATGAAGGGCCACGCCCTCTTTCAAGGGGAGATAATTAGGAGTTAGTGAAAAAATAATTGCATCATTTAAAAATCTTCTTCTCAAGAACCACTGGGCCAGGAAAGATGAAACATATGGAAACATCCTCAGGTAGTATAGATTCAACTTTGTTCAAATCATGACCCCTGGGGGTAGGGTGGGGCTGCAATGGGGGATCAAAGTTTACATAGAAATATATAGGAAAATATCTTTAAAAATCTTCTTCTTAAGAACAGCAAGGTCATGATTGGTCATATTTATTTGAAAGCATCCTCAGGTAGTGTAGATTCAAGTTTGTTCAAATCATGACCCCCCAGGGGTAGGGTGGGACCACAATGGGGGTTCAAAGTTTTACATAGAAGTATAGGAAAATATCTTTAAAAATCTTCTTCTTAAGAACAGCAAAGCCATGATTAGTCATATTTATGTGGAAGCATCCTCAGGTAGTGTGGATTCAAGTTTGTTCAAATCATGACTCCCCAGGGGTAGGGTGGGGCCACAATGGGGGATCAAAGTTTTACATAGAAATATATAGGAAAATATCTTCAAAAATCTTCTTAAGAACAGCAAACCCATGATTGGTCATATTTATATGGAAGCATCCTCAGGTAGTGTAGATTCAAGTTTGTTTAAATCATGACACCCCCCCCCCCTCCGGATAGGGTGGGGCCACAATGGGGGATCAAAGTTTTACATAGAAATATATAGGAAAATATCTTTAACAATATTCATCTTAATAACAGCAAAGCCATGATTGGTCATATTTATATGGAAGCATCCTCAGGTAGTGTAGATTCAAGTTTGTTCAAATCATGACCCCCGGAGGTAGGGTGGGGCTTCAATGGGTGATCAAAGTTTACAGAGGATTATATAGGGAAAAAATCTTTTATTCAAGAACAGAAAAGCCATGATTAGTCAATTGATATGGAGGCATCCTTGGGTAGTGTAGAATGAATTTGTTCAAATGAGGACCCCTGGGGGTAGGGTGGGGCCACAATGGGGGAACAAATTTTTACAAATGAATATATGGGAAAAAATCTTCTGCTGAAGAACAGCAAAGCCATTTGTTATATTGATATGAAAGCATCATCAGGTAGTTTAAAATTCAACACCCCCCTCCTCGTAAACTTTTCAATACTGAACTGATTTTTACTTTTTTTCCTAGGCAATGTGCTCAGGTGAGTGATGTGGCCCATGGGCCTCTTGATTTTTATTCTATTCAAGGTTACAAAGCAAAAAAAAAATTTGATTGCACAATATGCCATGGATCATGTGTATGGAGGAGACAGGTAATTTGAAATTCCAAGGCATTTAATAATAACATTTCATTGGAGACTGACCTATAAGTTACATGTGAAGATCCTGGGTGTAGGACAACGTTTATACCTGTATACATACATTCATTCAATTTAAGGGTTCAGACTTGCAGTCAGATATGATTTCAGTTTCCAATTGCCCTGTGACCGTGATCATGTAACCTGGTCCAGATTGGACCACATCTTTTGGCCATGGACAACATAACTCTAAAGTCTGAATCCATATATAACCTATTGCCTTTGTCCTACATGTATAATGACCTTAACTCAAGACTGAAGTTTATCTGAAGATTCTACTTCGTTGAACCCTTAACCCTCTTCTTTGAACTGGAAGGTAGGGGCTGACAATTTCTACGTGATAAGAAAAAACTTCTTATAAGGAAGAGTAAGAACAAATGTCCATGTAAGCAAGCTTCATCATTCGGAACATTTTATAGTTAGTTGTTGTTGAATTCATGTAAGCAAGCTTCATCAGTCGGAACATTTTATAGTTAGTTGTTGTTGAATTCATGTAAGCAAGCTTCATCAGTCGGAACATTTTATAGTTAGTTGTTGTTGAATTCATGTATGCAAGCTTCATCAATCGGAACATTTTATAGTTAGTTGTTGTTGAATTCATGTAAGCAAGCTTCATCAATCGGAACATTTTATAGTTAGTTGTTGTTGAATTCATGTAAGCAAGCTTCATCAATCGGAACATTTTATAGTTAGTTGTTGTTGAATTCATGTAAGCAAGCTTCACCAATCGGAACATTTTATAGTTAGTTGTTGTTGAATTCATGTAAGCAAGCTTCATCAATCGGAACATTTTATAGTTAGTTGTTGTTGAATTCATGTATGCAAGCTTCATCATTCGGAACATTTTATAGTTAGTTGTTGTTGAATTCATGTAAGCAAGCTTCATCAGTCGGAACATTTTATAGTTAGTTGTTGTTGAATTCATGTATGCAAGCTTCATCAATCGGAACATTTTATAGTTAGTTGTTGTTGAATTCATGTATGCAAGCTTCATCAGTCGGAACATTTTATAGTTAGTTGTTGTTGAATTCATGTATGCAAGCTTCATCAGTCGGAACATTTTATAGTTAGTTGTTGTTGAATTCATGTATGCAAGCTTCATCAGTCGGAACATTTTATAGTTAGTTGTTGTTGAATTCATGTATACAAGCTTCATCAGTCGGAACATTTTATAGTTAGTTGTTGAATTTCTAATTTTTAAAATCAGGACAGGAATGATCTCCTTGTATGTGCCTTTTTGTTTGTTGCACTTATCATTGAAAGAAAATGTTTCTTTTCCTTAAAAAAAAATAAAATTATGGTTTAAAGCTTTTTTTATTTCACTGCAACAAATTAATCTTAGAATATCATATATATAATATATGTTATGTAGTGAACATTTGAGTTGTGTAGATTGTAATCTATGTTATGTAGGGTGCATGATAATACATGTAGCTACATATTAAAATATACCTGTATCCAATAATGTTTTATATTGTTTATAATCATGTTTATATTGAAGCATTTACAATGTGAACTTAATTTGTTTCAAATATGCTTGTCGTTCCAATCAAAAACTTGCTGCAAGCTTCAAACTACAAACAAGGGCACCACATAGTGAAGCATCCCCTCACAAAAAAAAACCCACATCTATAAATCAAGGCAGCATTCGACATCAATCCTGATGTGAATTACATCACTTCCGTTTCGCACAAGGACAAACTAACACACAAACAAACAAACACACTCACAAGCACATTATTATATCTCAAACTCCTTTGCGAGGGGATAATTAGGGGCATTTTAATATTGATGTCGAAGTTAAAGGTCAAGTCAAACTTGAGATCACAAATTTGTTTTATATGTTAATATTGGGATTATTTCATTTGCTTTGGCACAATCATTGCCAAAGAAAATAAATCTTCAGAAGTGGACAACACAGAAGTTTCATGGATCACATGATAAAATCTTATCATCCTCGCAATTCCAGGGTTCCTGAGTCAACACGATGCCATGGGAGCCCTGGCAATTTCATTCAATAGTTCATGGGTTGACTGTAGTGATGTCTTTCAGGAAAATTACAAATCTTGATTGTTTTTCTTATCAACTAATCACATTAAGCCTTTCTATGATGAACAACTTGGAACATGTGCATTTGAAGTGTCAACTGAATCCTGTTTGTTTACATTATCTAACTATTTATGAAAGCTTTAATTTGATTGGTGCTTGTCAATGAGAGAAGCAAGCCCCTAAGTATCGATTGAAATTGGTCAGGGTCCCACAGCAATGTGTTGACTCAGGACCCGACATTGCGAGTATGATGTCTGGTAAGACTGAGATTATTACCTTTTTACTGTGGTCAAGGTTGAATCAAAATTAAAACTTTTAAGAAATAAGTTGTAATTTTAAAACTTTTATCTGTACATAAATAAGTGTTGGTCACATTATCAAATGGTCAATTTAACTAATCAAATCTCATAAAGTCCGAAGTATATGTCATCAGAATTTTCAAATTCGCTTGTGTATGCCAGGTATAGAAAATACGCATTACAGGTTCTAATTCTGAACATCTATTATTTCTCTAAAAAGTCCCAGCAAAACAGATTAATAAAAGCAACCTTGGCAGTGCCCTGCTTTATGTCTGTGAGAAATAACAAGCCTGTGATAATGAGAAGGTTAAGATGTACGAATAACAAAGATATGACATTAATAAGAAAATTTATTGTATGATAAAAACAAATGTCAACAGACAATAATGTAACAAAGTAAAACGGTACTGTATAATGGGTTATTTCTATTGAATTACTAGTTAATAGCTATTCTCTGTAACCACTTAAACTTCTTTGCCACGCATGGTCACCGATTTTGATGAAACTTTGCCCATTGTTACAACTTGACACCAGAAACATATATCAAACAAAATTTCGTTGCTATGTGTCTCGGTTGCCATGGTAACAGCCAGAAAAGTTGAAAAAAATTGAGATTTTCAGCTACTTTGAATCTTTATTAAGCCTTAATAAAGACTAAGAAAAACAAACAAACCATTCTCACAAAAACATGAGACCTTGTTGCCACTTATGCTATAAAGAAACTATTTAGAATTTATCTCTAAGTAAGTGGTAACCATGGGTACATTTGGAATACATTTTAGATGCTGAAAAATGCTGAAAAACGCTCGATATTCACTAATTATAGATGTAACATGATCAAACTCAATCAACAACCAAAGAAAAACAATAAAACTATTTGACCTTAAGTAATTAGGTGTATTGGCAATATTATTCTAAAAATAACTTTCATGGTTGCCATGGTAACACAGTGTAACCATGCAAAATCTGTTGCTAAGATTGGGTTGATGCTTCTATCTTGAGGAAAAACAATAAAATTCATGACTGGCACATATACATCCTTAGGACCTTGCAACACTTACAACATAAAAAAAAATTGGGATTAAGTGTTACTTTGCAGTGTAACCATGGAAACAATGTACCAGTTGTTAAAAATGATATTTTTTTGCTGCTTTAGGAATTTACTTACCTTTTAATCAAGAAACATATTATTTTACTCACCTTGAATAGTACTTATCTGGTAGAACTAAAGTTGAATATTGTATATTGATAAAGTGTGTTGAAAAATACAACACTGTTGCTATGGTTACCAAGAAGGGAAAATGTTCGATTTTGTTAATTTTAAATCAATATTAAATCCTATGTGCCAGCTTTTTGCATCCAGTTAGAAATTGGGTGGTAGTCAAAATTGAAAATCAGGTTAGTTGTTTATGTATATCAATCATAAAAGTTTTGGGAATCTACATACAAGGGTACGTATCCAAGGAAACAGAATATTTTTCAGATTTTTATGCATATTTTTTGGCTAATTTCCATAGCAAAGTTCTATTTAAAGAATTGCTTTTGAATTTTTTGAAATGTGAAAATTAGGGTCACACCAACGCCTTTAAAAATTGATCATCAGTTATATAGAAATATGCTTTTTAAAAAGATAGGATAAGATTAAAACTCTTAGAGAGTAAATTTAAAATCCCTTTGTGGTATTAAAACCATGGCAACCATTGCCAACCTATAAGATGTACCATATTTCGTCCTTGGTATATGTTACATGGATCTCTTGTCTATTATTTGCTTGCATTTCAACCTATAATTGTTTTTATTTTTAAGTGTATGACTTTATAAAATTAAATGAACAAAATTATGACTTTTGAATACTTTGTTTCCATAGTAACGTATGTAATAGTAGATTTACCAAACATGTTTATCATGCATTTAAGATATCAGGCCTTCAACTTTTAGAAACAGTCATTGCCACTTGTTTGCTTTGCTGCAATCGTTAACTGTGGGACTCTGAACATGTTGAAAAATGCCATTTTTCAAACTTTAGGGCATGTTGCTATGGTAACCATGACATGTAGCAACCAATTTTTGCCTGATTTGAGTTAATGGTATCAAAGACTTTTATCATAGAGAGTTTGGAGAAATTCTGAGACTATGCGTGCCACAGCTCCTATATAAAAGTTCAGGTCATTACAGAGAATGGCTCTTAACTTATTACCTTACAAGCTAGCATTCAGTACAATTTCAATATCTGTGATTTCATGCACTTTGCAATACAATAAAACAGACTAGCAAAAAAAAAAAAAAAACAGACTAGCAGAAAAGGACAGTTTATCAAATTTTTAAATTTTAATTATCTTTGAACTAGAAAATGAACAGATATAACCCTTTATACAGCACCTTAACATAAAAACAATAATTGGAGTAGTGGCTAAAATTCAAGGTGATTAAAAATTAAAGAGCTGCAAACCAAACCACTCTATAAGAGGATTTTACAGGTATAAAAAAAAAACCAAGGTTACAGTGTACCGCAAAGCAGAGCATCCTCTTGATCCGATTTCGTACAGAATGAGCTCACTCTCCCACAAATAAAACACATGATTGCGCTTCTCCGTTGCAAGGGGATAAAACAAAAGCTGTGTAACTGCAAATATACTGATCACAAGCATTTAGAAACCATAGTAATCAGATTGTCACAAAAAATATATAAACTTTCATGCTATGTAGCAAAATTATAATTTAACGTCCTATTGTACAAGTGCTTGGGTTTCACAGTATGAGTTATGTTCAAATCAGTTGATTGAAAATATTTGTGAAACTCATCAGATTAAAATAAGTACATTTATACATACATTGAATTCTAATTAAATTCCCTTGAAATGCGTAAAAATGGTGAAAAACAGAAAATTGAATTTGTACATGTAATCATACACTAAAATATAGAGGCGTTTATACTGTAAATTAACTAATTTTATTGTTAGAGGGGTGCTTAGTGTAATTACTGCTTGTTGTCGAACTTTTTGTAAATTAATGTTGAAATATCTTGTCATTTATTAATTTTCTGGTAGAAGCAGATGTAAACCAGCTCTATAATTTAGATTAAACATTAACAAGATAAAAAACATGAAACCTCAAGGTGCTACATTGTGATTTTAACAGGGATGTATACACAAAACATGCATGTACTTTAATGATTGAACACATTCATTTCCTAAACCTGTAATCATATACTTGTAACTATGACTATATTATATTAAACACATTGAATATAAAGAAAAAGTCATGTAAAATGAAAAATTCAATACTTCATTGCAAGCACTGACTAGATTGAAATTAAAGATTTATAATTATTGCCATAAAAATTCAGCAATTAAAATTTTAAAAATTAAAATTATGTTTTTACACATGCCAGTGTACCGGTACATACACTTACACACAGAAAATAAAATGTACAACTAACAAGGCAATATTACACACTAGCTAACGTAATAGCTAAAAACTACAGACACAACTGTACACACACAAAAAATCACTCCCTTTCACCTCTTGGTTTTGGCCCTTTTCCTCAATAATGGCAAAATTTTTTACAGAGGGATATTTAAAATTATCAAATGTACACAGCAAAAGCATACCATATAGTGGGTGTTGGGTTAAACTTAACATCCTAGCTTGTACAACATATACAATATTTATAGGTTTCAAAGTCATAATGCTATAATTTTAGAATTCATCTTCTTTTTATCAGAAAGATTAATCATGTTCGAGAACAAACATTAAGGAAGCTCTAAACACTAAAGAAAAATGCTTTTTAGACTCTGAGAAAAATATATCATATAAAGGTGCACATATTCAGTGTACCTAGTTCATTTTCAACATAGGGTGCCTACCTTACTTCTGCAGAAAAAATGTTCAGAGACAATGAACTATTTGTGAACAGAAATCACTGCTGTTTACTTGCATCGGGAAAATTTATGGAAATAATGTATTCAATTACTTAATCTTGGTCTAACATAACATTAAGAATACTTTGATTCTTAAGAAATTGTGTCATTAAATGTAGATTCCCATTTATTCTATTTTTCCTCTAAGGGCAGATCACTCTAACTCAATAAAATTACCCTACAAATAGAACTCTTTAGTGTGCAGTGTTTAGAGCTTCCTTAAACACATTCTTTTCTTTCTTTTTTTTTATTTTTACACTCTCTATTTGTTGAACATTAAAAAAAAAACTAGATAGTGTTATCAATACATTCAATAGTGTTATCAACACATTCCATAAAAAGGTGGACAAAAAAAACCCGTGACTATTCTTCAGTTTGGAAAAATAATATTGGCTAAGCTGTGTCATCATATATCCTATATAAGTAAAGATTGTATAATATTATTGATTTGCTTAATTTAAACAACGAATATTTTGCTTTATCATGGACCACTCCAACATTTAATCAATACATGTATTTCAGCTGTTAGTATTTGGTAAAAACAATCTACATCTATCTCAAGAGAAAAATATATAGCCTTAAGGGATGTCTTTCAAAAAAAGATATCAAAATGTTAAAAAAAAAAACGTTGTAAGAATGATAACAAACTAGTAAGTTTCTTATGCCTCATAATTACACTCTTCGCTAAAATAAATGGAAAAAAAATTTCCATGCAATCATCTAATTCAAAACAGTCATGTCTAATAACACTCCACCCCATTTTTACCTTTCCTTGAGATAGGAAAGAAAGGCGCAGGGGAAGGGGGCAGAGGAACAAATACAAACCTTCAAAGAAAGGAAGGCAGGGGCGGAGGAACAACAAAAAACCTTGGAAGAAAGGAAGGTGGGGGGGGGGCATAGGAACAACAACAAACCTTGGAAGAAAGGAAGGTGGGGGGGGGGGGGAAACAACAACAAACCTTGGAAGAAAGGGGGAGGGGGGCAGAGGAACAACAACAAACCTTGGAATAAATCACAGTCAGTGTGTGTATAATATCAGCTGAATGATGTACTCACTCCTATATTAGCTATAGGTTTCTTGCTTGTTAGTTCACTGGAGTCAAAAGTCACTTGTTTAGTGATTTTCTGTTTAGAGTCTTTATCTGAAGCTTCCAGTTCATCCTGAGATTCATAACATTCATTGACTTTATTCCGGTGTGTTTTCTCTTCTTCTTTTGTTGGGAGAAGTAATTCCCTACAAATAAATCATAGTACATAACTACACAATGGTTGTTTTAACAAGACAATTATTTCAGAGTTCAAGACTTCTTTTAATTAGACAGAAAATATACAGCCGCATCTTAAATTCACATTCTGCAAGTTCTTGGAAACTTGGTCATAATTTCCTGGATTTTGTGTGTTCCTCTTGCCAGTCTTCAACCTCACATATTACTAGTTCCAAATCTATAGTATGTATATGTAGAACCTCTTTCTGAGAGTATCCACAATATAATACCCAAACAACACTTTTACCCTAGCTCATGAAAATTTGGTCTTACCAAGATCTTGCAGACAAGTATAAATATACATATTTTACAATTTCAACAATCTATAAAGTTCATATGAATGAATAAACAGCCATTAGGGCATATAATAAATTCATGTAATATTCAATGTCTGTTTCTCCTGGAGTCTGATCATATAGTACATAAAATATGTACATAAGATCAGGCACCTACCTCTCTCTGTTGAAGATTCTAAAACATTTTAAAACGTTTTCCTCCATGTCCGGTGAAGGGTGAGGAAGATCTTCCTATAAAGAAAACTATATCTTAAAGACGGTCATGTTTTCAACCTGGTTTATCAAATCTGCCCAATTTTACAATCAAAGACTTGGACTTTAAAAGAAAATAATTCATGTAAGCCGTTTTTTGAACTGTTTTAAAATAAGCTACTTTTACCGATTTGAATACTTTTTACAAACAAAGCCTTAAATGTTCATCAGAAAATACTGCATGTATAATACAGGGAAATTTTCTCACCCATTCTTTTTTTGCCCCTTTTGCCCTAGACACAAGAGGGCAAATGTAAGATGGGGCAAATTCAAAGGAAACATATTACTTCTTAAACAGAACTGTGACAGGGCAAATTTAAAACAAGCAAGTTGGTTTGCAAGTGTGAAAGGGCAAAAATAACATGGGCAGAAAAAATAACCCTGCATACAGTAATCATAATCATATTTATCCACAGAACATTTAAACCCAGACTGACTACAGTGACCATACCACAGAAGACTGATGTGAGAGCTCTTTCTTGGAATTCTGTTTGGCAAGTCTTTTCTTCTTCTTGTGAAGGGGTTTTGATTTGATTGACCATTTCTTCCAGTTCATAGGTGGGGTACAGTTAAGGTGGTCTTTCTACAATATTCACAGATATATCTTTGAGTTGACGGGTAAAAATAACCACTAGGTGGATGGTTGTGTTGACAAATAGCATTACCTTTGGATAATGATAATTATAATGATAATTATAATGAATAATTTAATAAAAATATTGTCAGAAATTCATAATATTGCCAAAAAAAACTCAAGAACTCAAGACTCGTTTATTTATAGCACAGTGAGTAAATTAAAAGCTGTAATTGCTATATCTCTGGTGCTATAAGTGTAATTATATGTCAAGAGGATCGATCCTTACAGATTCTGTCAACCCAGTAGACCACAATAATTGTCATAAAATGATAAGTTACAGAAAGCACAAAGGGAGGGGGGAAGTGATTTTTCTGTGCAGAAGCTGGTCAAAGTCCACATTACATATGAAGCTATTGTTCTGCAAGGCCTCTAATGTTGAGATTCAGAGAAGTGATATAATGTTTGTAATAGAATTAAGGCATTTCCCATCAGAAACACCCATCAACCCTTACAAAAAACCAATAGAAACTTACAAGCTTAAATCTGGTACCTGTTAGCGGTAGGTAACATTGAAATCTGGTACCTGTTAGCGGTAGGTAGCTTTAAAATATGGCACCTGTTAGCGGTAGGTAGCTTTGAAATCTGGTACCTGTTAGCGGTAGGTAGCTTTGAAATCTGGTACCTATTAGCGGTAGGTAGCTTTGAAATCTGGTACCTGTTAGAGGTAGGTAGCTTTGAAATCGGGTACCTGATAGAGGTAGGTAGCTTAGAAATTGGGTACCTGTTAGAGGTTGGTAGCTTAGAAATCGGGTACCTGATAGAGGTAGGTAGCTTAGAACCCGGACAATGAACATCATAACCATTACCTCTATAAGCCAGGCTCCAATCCAGCAAAGTTTGTTCTGCATTGCCACGCCAACTATGTATTGCCTGTCAGTGTTGGTCTCACAGGCAATGGCGTAAGCTTGTGAAGCATTGTAGCCTGGTTTTTTGCTGCTTCCAAAGGTTATAGAGTTGTAGCGTCCATCTATGGCGATGTCCAATTCCTCTGGATGCTCCTGACCTTTGTCCTGTTTAATGGCCTTGACCAGTTGTCTCTTCTCACCTATGTCTTTCTTATTCAGGGTAACAGTAGCTGCATTGACCTGGTTGCTGGTCCTTTGCATGGAACTTCATTTGGGAGGAGGAATGTCCAAGGCAGCCACCATTTCCCGACTGCGTCGATTCCCCATGGAGGTGTTCTGCAGGGCTAACTGAAAGTTCCAGTTAATGCTGGCAAGATTAGGACCTGGTTTATCTGAGGTAGGAATTTCCATGTATGGTTTATAGTAATTAGACTGAAAATTACATACCTTGCATGTAAGTCTTTTCTGCCATCCTAGCCCCCATTTCCTCTGTCCTGAATATTCCCATGCAAACAGGATAATCACAGTTTCTGGACTGGTTAAAGTGGCCCTTAGCTGCTTCATTGAACATTTCCAGTACCAATTTAATATCGAGAATACGGTTTCCCTCGTACTGACTACAGGTGTCCTCATCTTTCACTTCCTTGCAGGTATCAGGCCTGGGTGTAAGAGTTAGTGTCCTTGAGCAGTTTTGCTGGTCTTCAACTGGGAGTTGTCCTGCCTCAGTATCTGTTGTTTCTGGGATGCTGGATGGGGAAGTTTTAGCAGGTAAGTCTTGCTATCTAACCTTATGAGCTTTGATGTGATGTGTATTACCTGGTTTGAAGCCCCAGTTAGGATTTTTTCTTTTCTTTAGGTCACCTTTCATTGTTTCCTTGTACAATCAATACTTGGAAATGAAATTAATAAGGAATAGAACAATGTTTATATAGCAAGTTTTTAAAAGGTTTATACAATAATTTCTCTCTCTGACAATACCCTGTCAAAACAGACTCCCCTGGGGCTTTTTCAACAAATTACCTTTGTTAAAAACTTACAGCCAATCAGCTGCACATGGCCCCTCTTGACACTGTGTAAGATTGAGTGGGGATGGGGTTAGAATACTGTTTATTATGAATATCTAGTACACTTTTACTAGTAATATGATACATGGTTTGAAACATGAGGAAATGTACTATAAATGTGTACCCATTTTGTCACCCTCAGATTTCCACATTAAAATCTAAGTGACTTTATCTATCTTTTTTAAGGGAAAATTCAGTATGTAGATGTGGTACTTCCATATATACACAAGAAAGCTGCGGTGCCAGAGTTTATCATCATGAATTATTTCAACATGTGTAGTTATGTCACATTCCATTAAAAAGTTTTATTCATTATCTTCTTGTGTTCCCAAATTTTTATTTTCAAATTTCACATTCACTAAAATTTTCTTGTATTTCACAGAGTACCCCTCCTTAAAAAGTAGGTCAAATTTTACACATAGTTATGAATGGATTTTGCCAAAACTTGGTATTGTGATTTATTAATACCCAAGGTTTACAAAAATGGACATAAAAAAAATATGATTTTTTTGCTACCATATAATACAGAGTGTAAATGCGAAACTTTCAGCTGAAAAGCAGGTAGGGTTCATCAGAAGGTCTGTATCTCTGAGGGAAGGTGAACGGCCCCAGATCAGTTAGTGAATTTTTTCATTAGGGCATGCATTAATTTACAGGATGCTGGGTGTTTTATCCCCCTCGCTTGGGCCTGGGTTGGGGCTATATGGGTGCGGGTTAGGCCCAATTGTTGAAAAATTAAGCCAAAATCTGGGGAGGGGGGGGGGGAGTCCAGTGCATTTTTGGTACACATGCACTTAAATATGTATATTACATGTTATATGTTGACATATTTTTTAAGCTATGGGTAAATGAAATTCAGTTAATTAGCCTTCAAGAAACTGTCCCCATGCACTTATCTGTTTTCATTGACATTATGTATATTATAACCTACCCCTTCGGCACATGTTTGGCATTAAAAAAACTGTCCCCTTCCACGTAAACCTTAATTTCAATCTTTATTTGTTACATTGCATTCATTTAAAAAAAAACAAAAAAACATCCATTTTAACCTCTTGACATCGGTGCTTAGGACTACTGTATGGCAAGCCCTTTTACTATTTATTCGTAAAATAATTTTTTCTTTCAATAAGAGAGATATCTCTTTAGCTTAGAGAGATATCTCTTTAGCTTATAGAGATATCTCTTTAACTAAGAGAGATATCTCTTTGACCAAGAGAGATATCTCTTTGACTAAGAGAGATATCTTTATAACCTAGAGAGATATCGCTAAAAACAAAGGAGATATCTCTTTTTGCAAGAGAGATATCTCTTTTACTTAGAGAGATATCTTTTTAAGCTAGAGAGATATCTCTTAAAGGGAGAGAGATATCTCTTAAAGTTAGAGAGATATCTCTTTAACAACGTTAAAAGAGATATCTTTCTAAGTTAGAGAGATATCTCTTTAGATTTTCAAAAAGAGATATCTTTCTAAGTTAAAGAGATATCTCTCTTAATGAAAGAGATATCTCTTTTCAAGTTATCCTTAAAATGAAATAATTATTCCTCCCTTATAATACGAAAGCGAGGCTAGACACCACATGGCAGGAAGTGTAATGTTTGATGATCATATATACGGTAGATCTCTGCTTCTGGAATAGATTCAGCATGCCCAATCCCAGAATGAAGTATGTAGAAAGAAATGCTAAATCCCTTTTTTGAAACAACAAAAGGATATTGACTACTTTGTTGATAAACATGCTAAAGTCTTTATATTCAGGAAAACGAAAGTAGGCTAGCAATAATCTCAACTGCGATGGACCGAATTTTCTCAGCTTTTGAAATAACCAGCTGTTTCTAATTTTAAATCTAGACAACATTGAATTACTTGTAATATTTATTTAAGTTATATTGTAAAGTATAAAAGGTCAAATTTAAAGACTACTTTAATAAACATCCTCGTCGAAATCAAGTTGGAGAAATCGGGTGGGGGTCTATTCCGTTGAACAGTGAACTTTTGCTGAATATTTTTATCGGGCGTAATTAATGTTGTTTTGTGGGAAAAAAAGTGGGGAGATTTGCTCCCAGCCAACCACCAGCAATTCTACAATTAGCCCCATTAGGTTCTGATACTCATGGTTTTATGCACAGGTGCTTGGGGACAGCCCCCCCCCCCCCATCAGGCCCGTTGCAACGATTTCAAAGGGCGAAGGGGGGGGTAGCAACTTCTCAAAAAAAACATTAATGGCTCTCTGAATTATTTTGTATGATTTTTTAAAGCATTTGTTGATGTATAATGCTCTATAAAAATTCACAATTGATGTCTCTGGTATCTGATGTATCCCCCCCCCCCCCAAAATAACCTCTCTATTTATTTCATTGGTATATTTTTATACATAGCTTATTAATGCATTAATTGTGAATTTTTATAGTGCATTGTACATCAACATATATGCTTAAAAAATAAATCAAAAAATAACTCGGGAAGCCCAAAATTTTAGAGGGTTGGGGTGGGTTGTGTTCCTGTTCCCTTAAAGCACCTGTGGTTTAATTATGTACTACATTTTGTCTCTTGTCTTTTATACAATAAGCTGAACTCTGATTGATTGCAAAGATCAATAATATGTGCTAGTCATTATCCTTCCATAAATTGCACAAAAAATAACAAATTTAAATAAATTCAGTCTAAATAAAAGTAGATCTTCATTCCGCTCCAACAAGATTGCTACACATTGCGATCTAGTTGGGTCTAATTTTAATTTTTTCTGCTCTCACTAAAGGAAAGGGATCAAGACATTCTTTGATTTTGATGCAAATTCTGTTGTGTGAAATGGAAATAAAAATTATAATAATGGATTGCCAAGTCATAATTGCAACACTTTTTATGGAAATCTATAGCTTGAACTTGTTTTTTTTTTTTTTAGAAGTTTGAAAATTTGCCTTAGCAGAATAGAAATACTATCCTTGTCATCTGAAATGTAGGAGAATATAGGTACCCCTTAATCTTCAGAATTTTTATGCCCCCCCCATAAAATGGTCAGGGGGGGGATATAGTGTTACCCTGTTCCATCATTCTGTCATTCTGTCATCATTGAATTTCCGTTCATTATCTCGGCAACAGTTGTACACATTCAACTCAGATTTGATATATGGATACATCATAGGAATATGCAGGTCAAGTTTGAATTTGGTCATGGTATTGACAGTTATCCCCCTTGAACTTGGAAAAGATTTAAAAATTCTCAATTTCTAATCATTATCTTGGCCACAAATGTGCAATTTACAATTTGCAATTTGAAATTTTGGCTGTCTGCGGGGGCATTTGTGGTGTTACCACACACATCTAGTTTGTAAAATAAAATCCTTGCCCTTTGGTCTTTGTTTTCATTTCCCAGCAAAATTAATCTATCATGGTACATGTACATTCTCTGACAATTCCTCAGAATTTTTTTTTTTTATATTTTTGAAATCAAATATTTCTGAAATTAAGAAAAGTTTACAGTTCAGTGCAGTCATTTAGGGTACATACCAGTAATATTCCAAATCACTTCTCATTTAATTTTATTTAAATGCAAAAGGTGTAAATAATTTTATGCCAGAAATTGGCTGTTTGGTATTGACAGAAAGCAGTTTCAGTGACTATGACACAATTCATTGAGTATACCTTCCATAAAGTAACCATGACTGGGAGATTTTTTTTTATCTCTGATATAGTGTAAAACAGGCTCCGGGGCCATAAAACTTAGATGAGCTAACTTTTGATCTCAGTCTCACTTTTCCACTATATATTCCTTTTGTAAAAGTGAGACTGAGATCAAAAGTGAGCTCGTCTAAGTTTTATGGCCCTGGAGCCAGGTCACTTCAAATAATTTGTGTGTTGCAGGTTGAGACATCTGAGTTGTGTCTCCTCCTTTGTCATAATTAATTATGCCAGCTAGTGTAAAGCTGAGATTGATCAATGTACTCTAAGCTAACTTAGGACTGTGCTCTAGACCTGGTGTATTCCTAAGGGAATAGAGAGCCAACAGGTATTTATTCTTACTGATTGCATGACTAAATATTAACAAAATATATTAATCATATCTTAATGAATTCCATCTGTTCAACAATCTTTGATTTACCTCATTACTTAAAAAAAAAAATGTTACACAGAGGAATTGTCCATTACAGAAAGACAACTATAGTTGTAAGGGTCCAATCACTATGAATCAATTTCATTGAACATTTATATGGGAATGGGATATAACTCAGTCAACAATATTAGTTTTCTTTATAATGTCCTTAGCTTTCAAATTTTATACATGTTTGGCCACAGAAGGAAGACACATGAAGTTTATGAGATCACACAAAATAAGTTTGTTTGTTTGTAGACCATTCTGCATCATCACATTTATGGTGATGTGTTAAATACACATAAATAAATACATGTATAACTTTAATTCACTCTGTCTTACAAATTAAACCCTTCAATATTATATACAGAAGTAGTTGATGAAAGGTTGACACCTACATACACTGAAATGAACTTAAAATTTAAGAAATACCAGGTACATGTTCTAAGATTGAATTGTGCGTCTTTCAAGCTTGTTTACTTCCATTATGAATTAATAATTAAACCCTTAGTTTGGCCCTCTCTCACTTTCATATTTTTAGCTCACCTGAGCCGAAGGCTCAAGTGAGCTTTTCTGATCACATTTTGTCCATGGTCCGTCTGTAAACTTTTCACATTTTCAACTTCTTCTCCAGAACCACTAGGCCAATTTCAACCAAACTTGCCACAAAGTATCCTTGGGTAAAGGGGATTCAAATTTATTAAAATGAAGGGTCACACTTTCTTACAAGGGGAGATAATTATGAATTCATGAAAAATTAATGGCATCATTAAAAAATCTTCTCAAGAACCACTGTGCTTGAAAATATGAAACTTATGTGGAAGCATCCTCAGATAGTGTACATTCAAGTTTATTCAAATCAAGACCCTCGGGGGTCGGGTGGGGTCACAATGGGCGATCAAAGTTTTACATAGGAATATATTTGAAAAATCTTTAAAAATCTTCTTCTCAAGAATATATAGGAAAAATCTTTAAAAATCTTCTTCTCAAGAATATATAGGAAAATTCTTAAAAATTCTTCTTCTCAAGAACAGAAAGCCATGATTGGTCATATTTACATGGAAGCATCCTGAAGTAGTGTAGATTCAAGTTTGTTCAAATCATGACCCCTGGGGGTCAGGTGGGGCCACAATGGGCGATCAAAGTTTTACATAGGAATATGTAGGAAAAGTCTTTAAAAATCTTCTTCTCAAGAACAGCAAAGCCATGATTGGTCATATTTATATGGTATTATCTTCAGGAAGTGTAGATTAAAGTTTGTTCAGATCATGACCCCTGAGGGTCGGGTGGGGCCACAATGGGTGATCAAAGATTAACATAGGAATATATAGGAAAAATCTTTAAAAATCATATAGGAAAAATCTTTAAATATCTTCTTTTCAAGAACAGCAAAGCCATGATTGGTCATATTTACATGGAAGCATTCTCAGATAGTGTACATTCAAATTTGTTCAAATCATGATCCCTGGGGGTAGGGTGGGGCCACAATGGGCAATCAAAGTTTTACATAGGAATACATAGTAAAAATCTTTAAAAAAAACAATTTCTTAAGAACAGCAAAACCATGATTTGTCATATTTATATGGAAGTATTCTTAGATTAGTGTAGAATCAAGTTTGTTCAAACATGACCCCAGGGGGTCTGGTGTGGCCACAATGGGTGATCAAAGTTTTACATAGGAATATGTAGGAAAAATCTTTAAAAATCTTCTTCTCAAGAACAGCAAAGCCATGATTGGTCATATTTATATGGTATTATCTTCAGGAAGTGTAGATTAAAGTTTGTTCAGATCATGACCCCTGAGGGTCGGGTGGGGCCACAATGGGTGATCAAAGTTTAACATAGGAATATATAGGAAAAATCTTTAAAAATCTTCTTTTCAAGAACAGCAAAGCCATGATTGGTCATATTTACATGGAAGCATTCTCAGATAGTGTACATTCAAATTTGTTCAAATCATGATCCCTGGGGGTAGGGTGGGGCCACAATGGGCAATCAAAGTTTTACATAGGAATACATAGTAAAAATCTTTAAAAAAAAACAATTTCTTAAGAACAGCAAAACTATGATTTGTCATATTTATATGGAAGTATTCTTAGATTAGTGTAGAATCAAGTTTGTTCAAACATGACCCCTGGGGGTCGGGGTGTGGCCACAATGGGTGATCAAAGTTTTACATAGGAATACATTGGAAAAATCTTTAAAAATCTTCTACTCAAGAACAGCAAAGCCATGATTGGTCATATTTAAATGGAAGCATCCTCAGGTAATGTAGATTCAAATTTGTTCAATTCATAACCCCCCCCCCCCCCAAACCACTTTTATATTTAAACTTTTCAACCTTTCAAGACTAAACTGATTTCTGCTTTTTCCTAGCCATAGTGCTCAGGTGAGCAATGTGGCCCCTGGGCCTCTTGTTTTCAATTTTATATTATCCATTCCTTTATTTGCTTAGCTTGACATTGAATGATCAGTTACATTACTACATTTTGTTATATTTATTTTTGAAATAATAATTTCACAGGTGAATCACAAGAAGCAACTACCTAAACAAAGTTGAGAATCTGAGGGTATCCTACCAAACCTATCCTGTCCTGTTTGAAGAATTCCAGGCCAAGAAAAGTGATGCACAGACTTCTACACTCTCTGCACATTTAGTTGTTTTTAAATGTCTAAAATTGTTTGAAAAAGTTTAATTGCTTACTGGTACCGTGTATATGCATATATCCACATTTCAACAATGACAAAGCAATTTATTCCCAATTCAATAAAACAATGTATCAGTGTTTTCAATATCTTTATTTGAATTCAAGTGAAAAAGGTTATTACATGTACATACCAATGCTTGTTTTTAGCTCACCTGAGCTGAAAGCTCAAGTGAGCTTTTCTGATCACCCGTTATCCGTCATCCGTCCGTCTGTAAACTTTTCACATTTTCAACTTCTTCTCAAGAACCACTGGGCCAATTTTAACCAAATTTGGTACAAAGCATCCTTGAGTAAAGGGGAGGTTTAATTGTTAAAATAAAGGGCCAAACCCCCTTACAAGGGGAGATAATCAAGAAAAGACAAAAATAGGGTGGGGTCATTAAAAAATCTTCTTCTCAAGAACCTCTGGGCCAGAAAAGCTGAAACTTATGTGGAAGCATCCTGTGGTAGTGTAGATTCTAAATTGTTAAAATCATGACCCCCGGGGGAAGGGCGGGGCCACAATAGGGGATCCAAGTTTTACATTGAAATATATAGGAAAAAATCTTTAAAAGTCTTCTTCTCAAGAACCACCTGGCCAGAAAAGCTGAAACTTATGTGGAAGCATGCTGGGGTAGTGTAGATTCTAAATTGTTAAAATCATGACCCCCAGGGGAAGGGTGGGGCCAAAATAGGGAATCCAAGTTTTACATTGAAATATTTAGGAAAAATCTTTAAAAAAATCTTCTCCTCAAGAACCACTGGGCCAGAAAAGCTGAAACTTACGTGGAAGCATGCTGGGGTAGTGTAGATTCTAAATTGTTAAAATCATGACCCCCTTTGGAAGGGTGGTGCCAAAATAGGGAATCCAAGTTTTACATTGAAATATATAGGAAAAATCTTTAAAAAATCTTCTCCTCAAGAACCTCTTGGCCAGAAAAGCTGAAACTTATGTGGAAGCATGCTTGGGTAGTGTAGATTCTAAATTGTTAAAATCATGACCCCCTTTGGAAGGGTGGTGCCAAAATAGGGAATCCAAGTTTTACATTGAAATATAGGAAAAAACTATAAAAAATCTTTTCCTCAAGAACCTCTTGGCCAGTAAAGCTGAAACTTACGTGGAAGCATGCTGGGGTAGTGTAGATTCTAAATTGTTAAAATCATGACCCCCATGTGTAGGGTGGGGTCACAATAAGTTTTCAAAAAGATCGTCTGGTGAAGAACAGCAGGGCTAAAGTTATTCAGGTGAGCGTTGTGGCCCATGGGCCTCTTGTTTTGTGTACTGGTAATACATGCTATGAAAAATTGTAATATCACAAAGTATAGTCGCCCTGATGCTTATACTTATGTGACTTTTTTTATTTAAGAGGTCTTCCCAAGTTAAGTCAGTAAAATCTAAATCTGCAAAAATTCTATCACTAAGGATTCAAAAATACCTTCCAGTTATGGCTGAATTGTATTGGATTCTACCTGCATGTATACTATAATTGAACTATGCCTATATAATTCAATAACTGTGAACAAACTCCAACATTATACCCTCTATACATTTTTTTTCTGAAAATGCCAATATCAATTTTCTAAATGTGACCGTGAACTTGTCAAAGTGATATACTGGTTAAGAAAGAAAAGATGCATCTTCTATTCATCATAAATCTTTAAATAAAAGGGAGATATTTACTGTTTTTCTTCATTAAGACATTATGGACCTGACATGAGCAATTTTTTTTTGCCAATGACCTTGAACTTGCCACAATATCATGGGTAAAGGTTATGATGTACTTTCAGCTTACAAATAATCTTTGAAGTTTCCAGTTTCAATACTTATCCATGAGGGAGTAATGAAATGAAAACAAATTTCACACATTTACTGCCAGTAATCTTGACATTGGATAAGGTCATGAAACACCATTTAGTCATAAGCAATCTTTGTGTCAAGTATCATTTGCAAATTATGCATTTGACAAAGGTAATACACTTTTTCTGCCAGTTACCTTGAATTTGCTTAAAAATGACCTTGATTTAAGATCAGTCATAACCGCAGGTCATGCTCAATATTTGCGATAAGTATGAGCCTCTAAATGTACTCAATTACAAGATATAGTCAAACAGGAATTATAGATTTTTATAAATTTTTATTTTATAAAATCACCTCAAACTTCATCAAATAACCTTGGGTCAAGGCCATCACACGTATATTCAATTTATGCACGAGGCACAAATTTCCAATGCTTCTTCAATAGGAAATCAGGGTTTGGGCCACAGTCAGCCTTTTCATTCAGCCCTCACTCAAAAAAGTATAAGGTAAATATGAACAACATAAAGAAAAGAAAATGAAAGAAAAGACAAAAATTTTATGTTACTTATAGATGAATAAAAAATGAAACTTATACTTGTGTATTGGGAGCTAGGATTGAAAAAAAAAAACAAAAATCTTAAGTTATAAACTTGACTGCTGTTAAATTGAATGTATTGTGAAAAAATATTATACATGTGAAATATTCTACCACTCTCTACCATTGGCCCATACATGTCTGAGAGAGGAACAAATGACATCTCTGCATAGGAGATTGATATCCTACAAGTTTAAATAAGGTCCACAGTATCAGTAAACATAATAAAAAACTATACTAACATCACATGTAATTTTTTTCTGTAGCCAGAAGATTAATAATAGGACAATAATTTCTTCTTGGGTTGCTGTTTTGTTGAAGTGTATACAGTGAATTGTTAAATTATGGTCACTTGACATAGGTGGAGTAAAACCTCTCTTATTGATAAAACTTTGATATTTCAGAGTTCCACAGATCCATATAGGGCATTCAGGTGGGTTCAATTTCTGGTGGCCAGATAGTTAAATTGGTAGAGCAAATGACTACTGAATCAGGGGGCCCTCAGACTTGAATCCTGGTCTGGTCCATACACCCCATTGCTTATCTCTTTTCTGTCTATGCAAAGAACTTGACAATGCAGACTTTCCCTCAATGATAGAAGTGCTTGTCTCTGCAGACTGTGCTTGTGACCTACACATACACAAGGAAAAATCTTTCAAGACTTTAAGAGAACATAATGTTTTTTTTTAATTGATCTATTTCATGTTTCAATGATGTTAACAGCATATTTCTAAGTTATAATAAAAAAATACATACACATGTAAAAATGAATCTTGGACATCCTTTGCATTCAAAGACAAGTGTCACAGAAAGTGTGTTGGACATACCCTTGTTGCACTTCATATCTGAAACAATGACAGAAAAAATTTGTAGGGGATGCTTCATTAATCATTACATGTAACTGATCTTTTCAAATTAAATACAGTGGTCTGCAACTGCACTAGAAAAACATGAAATCAAAAGGCCCATGGCCACAATGATCACCTTAGTCACTATGGCCATGTTGTTCTTTATAAGCAGATCCCCCCCCCCCCATCTTCCGAAGTAAAACTTGATTGTTTTGCCTGTTCTAGCTGGCTCAACCCTAGCCCCTGGAGACATGAGGATCCCAGCTTCCTTAGCAATATTACTTATCTTTTTATTGTTCTTGAGAAGAGATTTTTAAAGATTTGTTTCCATATATATTCCTTTGTAAAACTTTAATTGCTCATAATGGCCCCACCATACCCCACATGTCATAATTTGAACAAATTTGATTGAACGTACAATACACAACCTAATGTTTCCATGTAAATACAGTTGAACTTCAGTATCAAGAACACTGATATCTCGAATACCATGGATATGTCAAAGTCCCAATTGCTTATTGTTTAAGTAATATACCCTTGATATCTTCAATCCTCAGATATCTCAAAGTTTTTTCTTGGTCCAATCGAGTTTGAGATAATGAGATTTTACTGTACGAACAATTATGCCTTAGCTTGATTGAGAAGATTCTATAGAAAATTCCTACATATTCTAATGTAAAACTTGATGACCCATTGTTGCCCCATACTACCCTAGAGGGTCAATTAAGCTATGAATGATCGTGAATCTACACCATATAATAAAGCTTGCACATAAGTTTCAACTCACCTGGCCCAGTGGTTCTTGAGAAAGATTTATATTTATCAAATATGTCATAAAATTTTCACTAATTATCTATTATCTCCTATTGAAAGAGAGCGGGACCTTTAATTTGAATATCTTTCATTTGATCCACAAAATTAGATCAGAATTCAAAGCTCAATTGAGCCTTCAGCACAGGAAAGCTAAATATGTTTCAAAATTAAGGGAACAATCATTTCATTCTAAGAAGGGGGGATAGAGGGCTATTTTTCAAGTCAGCTTATTTCTTTCCATACCAGTGAAGGACAAACTATTTTCAAGATGATAAATATAGAAAATTATATATATATTTTCTTCACTGATAACATTTTACCCCCCCCCCCCCTTACACACACACAAGGGGGGGGGGGGGGAGAAGGACAAATTATTTGTTTTCAACATTTTGAGGTTCAGATTATTTATTTCCAAAATCTGCAAGTCACTTCCCCCTTTCAGAATCAAATGGTCTACTCGCTTTCCACAGGCACTTGTTTCTGTAATACTTTTTTTAACCCATAGTATGACAGTATATTAATCACATATGGTATCCAACTCGTATGCAGGTAACGATCACAGGGGGTGCTTCCGGGATGTAAACAATGTTAATTGTACCATAGGACTGGCGGTAAATTTAGATTTTGCTTTCATGTTGCTGTGGTGTATTTGCCAGAAGAATCACAGTTTTTTTTAAGTCACGCCCACCTTTTGGCATCAAGCCATATACTGTGTCAAGACCTTGACTAATGAATGAATGATGTCAATTTCAAGACCAAGGCAATGGCTGATGAATGAATTATGTCAACATTTTAAATTTCAAAAATACTAACATTATTTAGCTTGTCGGTGTCCGCTTCATAAATGGTTCTGTATGTTTTCTCCGCGTATCCTTAATCAGTAAATGATACGTCCTATCTCGAATTCTCGTCATTTTCTTTCCCGTCTCCAAATACATATAGCAATTTCACATCAGAAGTCCCCGCATTCTTTTTTACTTCCAATACCATTTCAAACTTTCATTAAAATGTCACAAATCATTTCATTTTTTTCTGTACGCCGATTGC